TTCGGTTCGTAAAACTCATATAATTAAGTCTTAATTATTAATGAAAAAGATGCACGAAATATTGTTGATGCATTCGCATTCGACGGCGAAAGTGGCCTTCAAAGTTTATAAGGACTCTTCCACGAAAGCATTTCACAAAAAAAAAACCGTTATGTACTTTACAATAAAATGTTTAATGCCCTCTAAGTATTTTCTTACTGAACAACATATTGTTGGAAATTGCCCAAACATATATGGTGTGCGATACATGTAGCTAAAATATAGAGTTATAAAATAAATTTTACATTGTATGAGGTCAAAGATTTTCAGTTGAAGGAAATTCAAGTCTTAGTTTCGACGATAAACTTTTATTGACCATTTTCTTGGACATGATGTGGCAACTATCCAAGTTTCATATCTTGAAATATTTTGGCTTTACAACGGCTTCTTTAACCCATGAATAAATTTACGCAAAACGTCATGTAAAAAAACCGCCCCTGTTCCCGATTCAAGAAATTAAATTCTTTCAATTCACATCCTATTTTACTTCCAGATTATAAACAACATTTCAACATCATCATGATAAAGTCGTCAGTCCTAAGACTGGTTGGACACGCACCTCCACTCTTTCCTATCCTGAGCTAATCTTCGCATTTCCCTAAAACTATCAGAACAACCTACATCCTTAACTGTTTGCGAACAGTAATCCCAGTTCATTTGCAGGTCCTCTAAAATTTTGTAGAATACTGAAAGTTTAAAGGCAACACAAGTAAACGATTTCGAAATTATCAACGTTGAAATCTTTTGATGATGAAAGCTATAATTCTTTTTATCTCTATGTGGTTATAAAAGCCAGAACAAAAGATAAATTTGGATGGAATTCAGGGCACGTCATAGCCAAAACTGTATTGTCCTTAAATAAATACATGAATCCTTTGATGTTTTCGAAAAAGTCTTAAGACAGGTTGGACACGCACCTGCACTCTTTCCTATCCTGAGCTACACTTCGCATTTCCCTAAAACTAGATTTCTTTTCTTTTTCTTTTGGGTATTTCATTCCCACCAGCCAGTAATGCAGGTGGTCGGGGAGTCCCTCCGGACTACGCCGGAAGGTAGGGCGGAAGGCCCTCTTCAGCCTGTTTCCAGGAATTGTGGGAATGGGTGGGTGGTGGTTCGGGTGAAAAAGATGAGACGGACGAAATGAAGACAGAAGAGAATGAAACATTATCTGTGGAATATTACTGCCTCAGCATTTGCCTAGGTGATCCAAGGAAACCACAGAAAAACTTCGACCAAGGCAGACGGACCCGGAATCGAACCGGCGTCCTCCCTAATGCTAAGCAATGGTCTAAACTTCTAGGCCATGCCGCTCGGTCTCTAAAACTAGAACAACCCACATCCTTAACTGTTTGCGAACAGTAATCTAGGATAGGTCTTCTGCCTCTAATATGTCTCTGACTAGACCCTCATGCCTGAGAAGGTGTCCTACTAACCTATCTCGCCTATTTCTTATATAGAGTCCTTTGTTCTCCTAATCTTTCTAATACCTCTTTATTTCTAACCTTCTCTATCCACGGTATCCTCACCATTCGCCTATAACGCCACATTTCGAACGCTTCTAACGTTTTCTTTTCCGCCGCTCCCACTGCCATGTTTCGCACTCGTACAACGCCACGCTCCAAACATACACCCTTAAAAACCTTTTTCGAATTTCTAACATTTCAATACATTACAATTAATTTGCGTTAGACCGATTCAAGTGAACAGTCTATCTTCATCTACATTTAACCATTTTGAAATTTAATTGTTGTGTCTCGTCGTAATCTCATAGCTATTCTACCTGGTGGAGATCTAGTTGAAACCTGAACAAATTTGCGATCGTAAGCTGCAGGATTTGTCCTCATTTATTCCTGTTACATTCAGGGTCCTTGTTTAGAAAACCTGCAGTAATCTATCCAATCCCTGGCCGAAGCTGCTGTGCCTTGCTCCGGGTGCAATTTGTCTTGCACACGTAGCCCTTCAACCAGACGTTTGATCATTAATTCTTGCCAGTCACCGTTGGTATACAGACGCGCTTATGTTGTCTTAAAATGGTTCTAACGCACAGAAACCACACGAGATATGTACCTGCTTACTACTACATTATCTACCTACACCTGTGCTCATATTATGCTGCACTAGGGCAGCAAAAGTTATAGCATTTACCTACACACATAAGGACTAATTGTAAAAGCGACAAGTAAAAGAAGATTAAAAATTGCAAAAAGAGATGTCATTGAAATTGTAAATTAAAATCCAAAGTTATACCTAGTGTCATTGAAATCCACAGAAGTTATCACAAACAATGAGCAAAGACAAGTGTCTTCATCTTCTATTCACTCGTTTTAACTCCCTAATCTTCTGAAGACCAGAACCCTTGATTTTAATAAATTTAATGGCAGAGGTATTTGCTTTAATTTCATTAACAAATCCATCATATATTTTCAACCTATTAACAGTAGTCGATCAAACATTTTCTGAATAAGGAAGGCATTTAGCAACAACTGAAATTTCTTTGAAGAAAACTAAAGATAAGGATCAAAAGATTAAATAAATCTGTACAAGATACAAAAGAAAATATTTACGGTTACATATGTTCGAAAACAATTTACATAATATTTGTAAGGTTTGGCTATATTATGTCTAATAACGAATGGAAAGGTAACATTAGCTAACACTTTTGAAAGTCTTTTTCTGTTTGAATTTTCTTTTCATTTCACGGACTTGTGCTGTCTCGCAACGTGTCCTGCATTAGGAGTGGTAATTTCCAAGCCTTTTCTATTACACCCCGTGTCGTAGGTGATTTGCTGTACCATTAATTTATTTTCAGTCCTATATTTAGCATTACTATTCTAAACATTGGCATTTCCACGAAAAATTCTGTTATCTTATATAAGATTTTTCTATTCTTTTTGCATACTAAACATTATCTCTTCTGTTTTTCCCCGCCAAGTTCGTTACGTGTTTTTTCTTTTAATTCGCAATTCTAGGTACTTTTTTAAGTCGTCCTATATACAGAGTGTCCCAAATGCCATTTGTAATATCGTATCAAAAGACTGTGGTCATCAAAAATAGATGTAAACATGACTAGGGTCAAAGTCAGATTCGTTTCAAGACATTAGTGTCTTATTAAGTAAATAATAATATTTTTGGCGTTTAAAGATTTTTTAAGATTGTTTATTGTACACTAAATTGTCACATAATAATGTCCTAACATCTATGGTTTTCGCATAGGGATCTTTGTAATGAATTTGGATGTAGTTAGTTCGTCTGATGATACAACACTACAACTAAAAAGATGAAACTGTACCACAAGCCTAATACTTTCGATATATTGGATTTTGTCGCGAATTCTGAGGTGTTTATATGTAAATATTCTCTGATAAAAAAACGAAATAAATACAACTAAAATTACTTCTGTCTAGTTTGACGAAAAATACGCGGTAGATGTGTGACATAAAAGTTTTATTTGTATTATTGGATAGACAAAGTTTCAGTTGGAGAGATGTTTCGTTGTTTGTGATAACAAGTTGACAGAATAAGATATTTCGAGAACTTGAAGATCTATACGACCATTTTAATAGGCATTGCCAGCATATTCTCTTCTCTGCCACCGCAAATAGTGCAGTCTCGCCGGAAATACGTGACTGCGAATCGTAAAATATTACTTTTCTCATTTAAACGATATTGCACTCGCAGTTGGAAAACTAAAAGCTGGAAAAGCACGAAATTTTGCAACTTTGTTAGGCTTGCATTTTACTATAAACAAATAAACAACAATCATCACTTTTTTCCTCATTATTGTCGTTAATTAACGTGCGGTTAAACAGAGAGAGTTAATGGTGTGTTTACCGAATCGAAATCATTCCAGGTGTAACGGTTTAGATACATTTTTATTACAAAAAAACTTAAATTAAAGGAAAAGATACTATAGAAAATTCGATATGAAATATTATTCTGAAAATTCATTCCTGAATTTTTTACCCACTACACACTACCTCAAATTATTGAGAAAAAAATTGTTGCTGTTGNTATGCTTAAATTTGCAGATGATATAGCTGTATTAGCATCTAGCAAAGGAGGAGTTAGAGATAGCTTTAAATAAAACGGAAGCGGCATTGACAAGACAGTATTGTATAAAAATAAATAAAAGTAAAACAAAAATACTGGTAAGCAAGGGAGGAATATGTAGGGAAAGAGCGAATATAAAGATAGGAGACGAAAGATTAGAAGAAGTGGCTGATTTTAGGTATCTAGAAAGTCAGATAAGTCAGGACGGTTTTCGAAATGTGGTGTTACAGGCGAATGATGAGGATACCGTGGATAGAGAAGGTTAGAAATGAAGAGGTATTAGAAAGAATATGAGAACAAAGGACTACGGAAGTCAATAAGAAATAGGTGAGATGGGTTGGTAGGAGAACTTCTTAGGCATGAAGGTCTAGTCAGAGACATATTATAGGCAGAAACAGGAGTTAAGAAAAGTAGAGGTAGACCTAGATTAGATTACTGTTCGCAAATAGTTAAGGGTAATATTGGATGTTCTAGTTTTAAGGAAATGCGAAGATTAGCTCAGGATAGGAAAGAGTGGAGGTGCGTGTCCAAGCAGTCTTAAGACTGACGACCTTATGATGATGATATATGTACAGGGTCTACAATGTATAACAGCAAAGAAAAAATAACTACAGACAAATTAATGCCCTTTCTTCGGCTATAACTTGTCCCATATCAACATTGATTTGAGTTTTGCTCTAATTAATTCGTTACTGATATTGTCATTATGATTCCTAAACACCAATATCACAAACTGACATTTATTTAGAAATGTTTTCGGAGATCCCCTCTGCTAATAATATAATCGGGGAGGCGCGAAGCTGTTGGAGTATCTCTTACAAGTGCACAGTTGAATGCAACTGCGCGAGCTTCCTAACGAAATATTTGTCTAATTTAAAGCTTCAGCGGTCCAATTAAAACTCCAAAAACAAACGCAATAAGCGTACCGTCAAAGGGGTCGTCGTCGGATGCAATCGGACGTTACGGCGGAGCGCGCAGGCTAGACGTGAGCGTCGCGACGACGGACACCGTTTACCACCAGCGTCAGTATTCGTACGCTTACGACGCCTAAAAGACGTGCGATATTACAGCGTCGGTGGTAGCTACTATGTGACGACGCGTACCATCTACTTATTATCACCATCCCCCGAGTAATGTTAATACGATGGACCGCCACCTTTCAGTTATTTTCGTTATGAGCGTTGGCGTATTGTGCGTGGGCCAATGTTTCGTTCTCTGCGCCCATCATCAGCGGTTCCTCGTCGAGCCGATACTTAATTCGAGTTACAGTGTCAAATGTAATAACGGGAACGCAACGGCGTGCGTCCATGTAAACATTTCAGACTTGGGAGACTCGTTGGGACCGTTGAATGTATGCCATTTGTCAGTGCGAGGAATAACCGAACTGTCGAGTTTCAATTTCGAAACGCTGAACCGATTGCAATCGCTCGACTTATCGCGAAATGCGATCGCAACGCTCGCGAACTCGAACAGTAGTTTCAATCTAGAAAGCTTAAAAGCCCTGGATTTGTCATTTAACCGAATCGAAGTGATCGAAGACGCGCCGTTCAGGACGTTACCCTCACTGAAAGTGCTCAATCTTGGTGCCAACATGATAGATACCGTTAGTGTAAACGCTTTCGTGGGTCTTGGCGAACTGCAGTCGCTCGATCTGTCGAGAAATCGACTTCGCGCGGTGAGTTTCCACTGTTTCACTCCGCTTAGAGCGTTACAAAGTCTGAACTTTAGCCGCAACTCACTCAGCGTCGCGGACAATAGTCATTTCAACGACTTGCAGAAACTACAGCAGCTCGATTTGTCGTGGAACAATTTGACTCGGGTGGATCCCGGCAGTATGCAGTTTCCGAATTTGCTTTTTCTCCTTCTGGTCGGAAATCCTGCGTTGGGAGGCTCATACGAATTGTATCTGGGACCCGGTAAGCTCCTACAGAACGTGGACGTGTCCGAATGTGGTTTGGCACGTGTCCCTTCGGCTTTAACCCAAACGATAAGGATCCTTCGTTTACGCCATAATTCCCTCAAAACTATAAGCCGTGGTGATTTCGATTCGTATCCCTTGATTCAGGTGCTCGACCTCTCGTACAATTTTTTAGAAACAATAGAAGAGGACGCTTTTGGACGACTAGATCTTCTAAGAATCCTTTACTTGACGAGCAATAAGCTAAATCATGTACCGTACAGTCTTCCAGTTGAGTTGAACACTCTCCACATGGAATACAATGAATTAAAGACAATCGCCAAAGATGAATTCGCTGCTCTAGGATCCCTAGAAGTATTACTTATAAATGACAATAATATCGAAACAGTTGAACTTTCAGCATTCAGTCCTTTAACTAGTTTAATCACTTTGGATTTATCTAGGAACCCTATCAGTTCACTACCGGCTGTTTTATTATCTAGTATGGGTAAGCTTCAGACATTAAGGCTTTCCAATTTGGATGCTTATTTTGATCCAGACACAACAGGTCTAACAATATTGGATCATTTAGCAGTGCTTGATATCTCTGGAAGTCCGAAATTAGCCAAGCAATTTCTAAACAACACGGTCTTCTTGTTTTCTGCGGGCGAAATTCAAAAGATTGACCTTAGAGGTACAGAACTGACCCACGTAAGGAACGACTTACTAGCATTGTTACCTTCGCTGCACACATTGCTTCTGCAAGACAATCCTTTAAACTGTTCAGATCTTTATTGGCTCGCGTCCTGGCTGAGGAGACAGGACTCGTTAGAGAATCGCATGATTCTTTGCGACAGCCCGTTGGAACTAAAGAACGTGCCGCTTATAGATTTACAAAAAATAGTTAATCTTAGCAATAGCGAACCATCAAAAACCAAGAAACTGAACAGAACAAAAGCAAAGAACAAAAAGACTACGCAGCCGAATGCGACATTAACAGACAACAAAGCAGACGTGTCGATTAGAAATAATTGTAGCCATCAGCAGTTTGCAAAAAAGGAACCGGCAGCTAATGAAGTGTCATATGCAGACAATAGAACCAATTTGCTATCTGACAAGTCCGCGTCTTTAGAAAAATGTGCCGAGCCGGCGAAACTTCATAAAGACAAAGAAGAGACACGTTCCGAGGAAACGAAGGGACACGCGAAAGCCCTGCGGGATAATAGCAGTCCATTTACCGAACAAAATGCAAATAATTTGCGTCAAACGGCTCACGATAATCTTGCGGCCGAAATTGCTCCATTTACGCTAATGAACTCGAGGAAGGGTGTTCCAGGAACACAAATTACTCCCCGGGAATGGGGTAAAGGAAGCCCGGAGCACGATATTACGCCCGGGTTTCGAAGGCTTAATGGAGACAATTCTCATGCACCTGACCCATCCGGTGCAACAACAAAGAAGGACCTTTCCAGACCCAAATATAAAATAAACAAACAAAAACTTCCACAGGAAACTCAACGTGTGCCAAATGCTACAAATTTAATTCGGAACGCGACAAAAGAGGAAACGAACGGTAGAAACGATTCTGCCAAAAGATTACAAGAAAATTTATCGAATGGAGGACACAATAAATCAGCGGACGGGATGGCTTTGGCTATGACGGTAGAGAAAAGAGGAATCGCCGAAGAAAATATAGGTTTCAGGGGTCATGTGGCATTGTTGGCGTTCGTGTTTGTGATCGTGAACGCGCTGGTTGTGATAGGCACCATTGTATTTCGAACACGGTTTTACAGGAATCAGCGGTCGTCTTCTAGGGATGAAATCGAAGTAACCAATTTACCAGGAATAACTGACCTCTGGTGACATATGAGGAGCTCAGAAGAAGATCAAACGATGTTAAGTGACAGTTTACTATAAAGGAGTTCTGGAGTCCAAAAGTTTACGAAAAAAGAAGTTTTTAAACGAAGAAATCAATCAATAAATAAATTAATTTGAGTATGAGATGTCCCATGATCCCAAAAATGTATGATAACAAAATACAATAACGAATTTGTTATTTAATATGTTAATTACATTACAAAAATACGTTTTTAGAAGTTGAAAATTTGGATAATAATTTCAATTTCCTTATGATTTGTCGACATTGAAACTACACTGTAGATGTACCTAATAAAATCTTAGACAATAAATGTTTCAATTTAATGCATTTGAATGTAAAAATGTTATATGGTTTGTAAATTTGTAAAAGAAATCACAAACTTTCTTAAATTTATTGAAGGTGAAGACTTAACTAATACAATAAGTAATATTAATTCTTGTAATCGTTTTACTATTTCAATTGTTATGTTCTGCTACAAGGAATTTTATAAATTGATCTCGAATTTAAAAAGGTAGAGATGTAATTTTCAACAATTGATATACACCTAAAAAGCATTTCTTTTTCTCTCAGTCCCTTAATAATGAAGGATGCTTGAAGTAATTTCAGTGTCATATTCTAATAACATATGCATATTTACTATAAAATGTTGTTGCTCACCGGGCAAAAATATTTGTACAATTTTTGTTACTTGTTAGATAGATATGTTCGTAAAAAAGTTTAGTGGAATTTTCTGTATACTTTTGGACAAAAAATTGAGACAACAATTTTTGTGATAAAACTTATTTTTGTGTATTGTATGATAATATTCAATGTAAATAAATGAAAAATGAAACTCTTCACAAACACATTTTCGCAAAACTGTATAAATTAGGATTATTTTCCATAATTCTATTAGTATGTATGTACTGTAAAGTGACCGATTTCTGAAGGTGTTTTTTCTGTAAATATATAAATGTCATATATTTATATATCTCGCCAAAGTGTGTTGTATGATATTGGTAAAAATATATGTTAATACATAAACTATTTTTCTATTACTTACAGTAAAACTGCACATAATTTGCACTATTTTAAGTAAAGTCGTATTTGTTATAAAGTTAATAACAAAATCAGTCCATTATTTATTTGGTGACCCCCCTACCCCCCTAATTCACTTTATTAACCGTACCTCCTGTTTCTGTTAAAGTTTGCTTGCCACCTTCAAATCAAGTCTTTTGTATTACGTCTGTATGTCTGTATGTAAACTTCTAACAGCGTTTAGGAGTCAATGGACCCATTTGGCAATGCACTCATTATAATGGCATAGGAAATGGTAGAGGCAAGGGCCCCATTAGAACTTCTACCATCTCTGTTCGAATTCCGACAAGCTTAAGTAGCGAAGCTTCACAATAAATATCCGTATACTAAAGCCTTCAATTTAGAAACTTGCACGAACTTTCTTGCTGTCTGAATAAAGTCCTACATGGCTTCCAAAAAACAAAAAAAAACAAGAAAGTTCAACAGAACAAAAAACCGAAAGTTCAAAAAGATTTAAGGAGAAATAATAAAATCTATTAGAGTTTCCAATGTTAAACGAAATCTAATAACTACAAGGAAAAACATGTCTGAATCCAATATACTTATAACCTAGTGTAAAAAGAAAAAATGGATCGTAAGTAATGGTAAGTAATAAACATTTCCTTTAATTGATTTTTAACATAGCAGATGTTTTCTAAATATGCAAATAGTTTTATTATCGCGCCTATTAATATCTGTTAATACCTAAATTAAGTACAGGAATATTTGAAATTCGTTTGAATGATAAAATTGGGATAAATGTAAACAATTAGGAAACGTCGATATGTGGTTTACATTTTGTATATAATACAGTAATAATTAATTAATTAATTAATGAAGTGGTACATAATTATTTGTATGAATATGCAAAAAAAAATAATAACAAAATACGTAATATAATTGAATACTATGGTGATTCCACTTCTATTAATGGCGGTAGCAGACGTTAGAAAAGCTTAAAAATATCATTTTTTTTATTAAAAAAACGCAAAGCTTATTAGAAGCCCTCAAGTTTCCCTTTTGCCCAATTGAGTAATCCTGAGGGATTCATTACTCGTTTTTTTTAACAAGAAAAAATGTTCCTTTAAAAATTAATTAAAAGAAATTTAAAGTCGTCTTTGTTTCAATAAATAAAAGTAAAATAAAGACAAATTCTTTGAGGGCCAAATAATTTACAATATTGGTAAAAGAATATAACTTATTAAAAATTATAAACAAAAATCTTTTTAAAACAGGAGCTTTGGTACATCTTTCGGTTCGTAAAACTC